TGTGCCTGGGCTGGGACTGGTCCCGCCGGCGCAGGGTAGCAGGAAACTCTCCGCACACTCACCGGACCTGGGCTAGGACTGGGTCTGGGGGCTCCTGGACCTCGGCAGAAAATCCCACTCGGCGGGCGGGGTGGGGGAGGCACTCCCTTGTTATTTTTATAGAATGTCCGTCAAAATATTTTGAAGTGCTGATTTGGTGGTCATAAATTTCTGCAGATGTTCTTTGTCACAGAACTATCTTATTTCTCCATCAATTTTGAAAGATAGTTTTGCAGAGTTCATCAGTCTCCATTAAAGGTTGTTTATCCTTAGCACTTGAAGTACTTTACTCCAAGCTCTTCTTGACTTGAAAGTTTATGCTAAGAAGTCAGCTATTATTCTGATGAACTTTCCTTTATGGGTGATTTGTTTCTTTTCCCCAAGGGCTTTTAAGATTCTGTTCTTGTGTTGAATTTCTAATGCTTCTCTTATTTGTATGTGAAGTTTATACATGTTTGAGAAGTTTTCTGCCATTATTTCTATGAAGAGTGTTTATTTATTTATTTATTTATTTTGGCTGCGAAGAGTGTTTTTATGGCATTTACACTATATTGTGCTTCCTCATTGATTCCAGTCATTGTTATGTTGTTTGTCTTTGCTTTATCTTGTAGCTGTTGGATTGTCTTTTTCATGGCCCCTTGCTGTTTTTAAGATGTCTTTGTGTTCATGGTCACTAGCTGTAATCCTGTCTTTTTTGAAATTTATTTGTTTTATGTATTTTGTTGTTACAGGGTCTCACTATTCAACTCAGACTCATGCAGATCCTCCTGCTTTCAGCCTCTCCAGTGCTGGTGTTATAAATGTGTGCCACTATACCCAGACTCTGGCTGGCTCAGCCCACCCTGGGGATGGGGCTGGCATAGCCTGTGGTTCTGGGGATCGAATCGCAGTTCATGCATTTGCCTAGGGAGGTGCTTTAGTCCCCTGAGCTATCTCATCAGCCCTGTAATCCTGTCTTTTTATTTCTTAACCTATTTGCTCTAATGTCTGTTTTGATTGTCATTTCTTTTTTTACCATTTTTTAAAGCTTTTTTTGTGGTACTGAGGATTGAACTCAGGACCTTGCACTTGCCAGGCAAGCGCTTATTCTACTGCGCTATCTCCCCAGATCTCAATAGGTGGAGGTCCCAGCTTGAAGTTAATTTTGAGTCCATATGTTTTTTCTTTTTTTTTTTTTTTTTGTGTGTGTGTGTGTTGTAATTGCTTGTATTTATTTCAGCCTGAAAAATATACTAACAGCTGTGGGGAAGAGGGAGGCATTGGGGTGACCACAGTATATGGGAAATGTGTTTCACACTAAATTATGCATCTAAACCTAAGTAATTAACAGAAATTTGGATTTCTTATTGAAGATCCTAAGTCTCAACATGTACTTCTACATTCTGTTATATCTATCTAACAAAACATAATGTGTTTTGGTTGTAAAATAATTTACTAAAGGCACTACTGTGAAACATCAAACTAGTACCTTGTTGCTGATAAGGTACATCATTGTAAACATAACAGTGCTCAGATACTCAGGGCTAGCAGGCAAGCACACATTTCCCCTTCAGTAAGCGCCTCCTTACTGACAAGTCAGCCTGGCAGCTTTCTGGACAGTGACCCCACACTCCCAGCACTTATCTGAGAAAGGAGAGGACTGGTGAGTGCTAACAAAGATGCTAGGAAAGCTCAAAGTCTTCACTCGGGGTCTTTTTAAATCCTAGGTTGAGAAAATAATACATCCACGCATAAACTCCTAAGCTCTGCCCTTTTTTTTTTTTTTTTTTTTTTGGCAGAACTGGGGATTGAACTCAGACCCTTGAGCTTGCCGGGAAAGCACTTACTCTGCTGAGCCATTTCCCCGGCCCCAAGCTCTGCCATTTGTACAGCATCATAGAAAATGGACAAAGTATTCCAAGGGAACTCCTGGACGTTAGCACCATAATAAACAGCTCAGACAACTAAAATCTAGATTGTTTTCCCCAGACAGTAACACTCATTACAGCTCTAATGCAGAAAAAGTAGCTCTTGAATGGGACAAATGATTTTTTTTTAATTTATTTGAGAGAGAGAGAGAGAGAGAGAGAGAGAGAGAGA